GATCATACTGTTCTTCAGTATGATTAATGACAGCTAGGTAAGGACTAGGTTTTTTTTTATTGCTTAAACCAGTATGAATGTTAATGGGTTACTGTTGTCATTTTTGGTGGAGGGGGGAAAAAAGCTGCAACCTAAAAGAAAAAGGACACCCGGGAGATTGGATTCCCCTGGGAAAACAAATCAACTTTATTATCATTGCAAATCCAGGGAACCGGAAGTCAACATTTGTATTCCAAGCAGAACCGACTATAAACGAAAAACAAACTAGAGACAACTGGAACGGTGGTTGTGCCTAAACAATAAGGCCCTACCAAAAAAAAAAAGTATTCCGGTCTACACCCATCCACACTAACTGAAAACAAAAAGACACAACATGTCCCAAAACCCCCACAGCACTCCACTGTCTCCGTTCCCCGTGTCCAATCTCTCGGGTCTCGTCTTCCCCTCTTAAACGCTCCCACCTCTTCTACTTAATTGGCAACACCTGGGAAAAGAGAAAGCAATTAGGGGTGGGGAAAATAAATAACGTCCTCGGCTGTAATGTCCTTTCATCAATTAACCTACGGGATTAATAAAGTATTATCTATCTATCTAACGGGATGCCCGCCGTGCGCGCGCCACCCTGAGGAACGTGTCGGGGTGGGGTGGGGGTGTGTGGGACGGTGTCTGACTGGCTGCTTTGCCCTTCTCCCCCCCCCTCAGTGTTTCACCTGCGCGACCTGCAAGAACCGGCTGGTCCCCGGCGACCGCTTCCACTACGTCAACGGGACCATCTTCTGCGAACACGACCGGCCCAGCGGCGCCGCCCTGCTGTCCAGCCACCTGCCCCCCCTACAGAGCAGTGCGCTGCTGCCTGACCAGAAGGTAGGAGAGAGACTCTCTCGGCTTCCCGGCTGTCCCTGTCCCTTGACGAGGTGTCTGTTCTCTCTCATTGAGGGGGAACAAAGGCGAGCAGGTTTCGCACTGCATTATGGGATGCCAAAATTGCATTGTGGGTATGTGCTGGGGCATCATTAAAGGGTGACCCATTGCAAGTCAGGTGTGAAAGATTTGCCCCCTGCATCTTACTAACCCCCCCCCCCCCAGTATTTTTCTTTTTTTAAACATGTCCCCCAATGAATCCATCCCTGGGGGCCCCCAATACCATGAGTGAGCTCTACAGTCCCAGGCACTGCCCCGGGCTTGTGGCACAATGCCACATGTTGCTGTACCCGGGCAAAAGGGACAGCGATGACAGTCCAGCTGCCAAAGCGCGGGCAATGGGCAGTTCTCGTGCCCTTCAGGAAGGGGGGGGTGGTGTCCGACAGCGGGGACAGTCTGGCCTTCGCTCAGAAAACCGAGCAGCGGAGGGTCGTTGGTTGTTGCGGACGTGTGCAGTCGGAGAAGGTGTGAAATCCTTGTTCTAGTTTGCAAACTGACGCGGTCCTTCTTTGTCTCCAGGTCTGCTGAGGTGGTGGTCCTGGGTTTGGGGACGCAGGAGGGAGAGGGACAGAGCGCGAGGACAGTTGGGGTGGGGGGGGGACTCCGTCCCTCTCCCTTCCCACCGGCGTCCCCCGCCGACAGAAGGACACTTTCGATCTGCTCCTGATTTTTCGGTGTTGTGGCGTCGCCTCGTCGTAATGTCACTGGACCAGAATAAATTATTTTTGGAAAACAAGAATGGGGGGTGGGGGAGAGGGAGAGATCTATGTCCATATATATATTTGTATATACTATAAAAAGAGAATGATCAGATTTGGGAGGAGAGAAGGACAGGGAGGAGATGCTGGGCCAGGCAACGGCAGAGATTTGTCCAGTTAAGAGACTGGAGTGGGCTGAAGAGGAGGGACCAGTGCCCAGGGCTCATCAGGATCCACGTGGAGACCTAGCAGAGAGACGTCCCCACTACCGTGTTCTCCACTCGCCTTGATCCCCGCGATCTCACTGCAAGAAAAGGCTGCCTTTTCCGCTCCGTGTGCAAGAGACCCGAACTCCCTGAGGTCCTGCTTCGTGGCCGGCTGTCGAGATGCGCCCAATAGCGGCTGGGCTGGTCCGTTCCCAGCTTGCGTGGTGAGTGCGTGTGAGAAACAAACCTATTTCACAGTCAAGGGATTCCCCCCCCTCCCCTTTGGGGTGACACGGTAGTAAAGAGATCAACTGGCTTTCAAATTGTTGGGCGGGGAACACAGGATGAAACTCTGAACAAACGTTAAAATAGGCAAGGAACTCCCAACAGGTGGTGGTTGGATTCAGGAGAAGTGGGTTCCATTTTTTTTAAAAAAGCTTAACGAGGTTCCCCCAACGGAAACGTTAGGGTGGCTCCTGTCTCCCCATAGTCCAGTTCGTCCCTATCGGACTGCTCCCCGCCTACAGGACCGCCTGCTGTGGTCCGGCCCGGCCCGAGTCTTTAAACTGACTTGTTCTGCCTTCTGTCTCCCTCTCCGTCTCTGTCTCCCTCGTGGGCTTGTACAGTTTTTTTTATTTTTGTTTTTCTGGTGGTGTGGGGGGGGATGGTTAATGAGGGGGGGGAGAATGGTGTACATTTTAAAAGAAAAAGGTATCGTGCATTCTATAGTAGAATTGTCTTTTGTGCGGCATCCGGTTTTTAAGTGGATGTCAAATTTTAAGAGCTGTACAAAAAAAAGGTAAGAACTTACTTATTGAATTATTATAATAAAAAAAAACCCCAAAAGCCTGTTGTAGTCTGCTTCTTCCCTGGCCGCATTGGCAGTGCTGACCGGCAGAAGGGATCAAATGATGGCTTCTGCACAAAATAAGAAGCTGCCTTAGTAAAGCACTGCGTGTTTGTTATAGTTCTACTTTTTGTTGCTGGCTACATTTCTAAACGCTCGGCAAACATTCCCGATTTACCCGGAGGGATGGAATTAAAAGGCTTGAGCTCTGACCATTACAGAAGCAATTAAATGCGAGTGTCTCTCATGCCGGCGCACACAGGAGGCTGAACTTTGGTCCGATCCTGCGTGTGAATTTAATGAGACTTATCTACGTGGCTGGCTAATTAAAAGGGAGGGGTTAATTTCTCATCAGCAGTGGAGAAGAGAAGGGGGACAGTCCAGTGCAAGCACTGTTATTACGATGCTGCAATTAAAAAAAAAAAAAAAAGAGACCCCAAACTATAATCCAGCCCTGTTCTGTTTTTCTGCCCGGTGCACTGCAAATTTAGGCACTGACTGCAGTGCACTGGTGGGGGGGGCTTTTTAAGATTTTAATTTGTATTTTTTTTTTTAAGGCTAAGAGGGAGGGATCTTGGCATTCTGAGCTCTCATCCTGGTTAAACATTAATGCCTCCGTTAGGCCTCTCCACAGCTTATGAATAAACACATTTGATAGGAAAGTATTCGATTCTGCAGGGTGACTGGGGTGCAGTTGTCAGCCTGGTTACCCTGGTGCCTGGGTTTGATTCTGGACCTGGGGGGCTGTCTGTGTGGAGTTTGTGTTCCCCCTGCATTGGGTTCTCTGGTTTCCCCAACAGTCCAAATGCATGCTGATTATTCTTCTGGCCAAGAACTGGCCCTGCTGTGAGCATGTTTCTCTGGCCTACTAGGAACTGATGTCCTGTCCAGGCTGTACCCTGCCCTGATAGGCTCTTGCTCCTGTATTGCCTAAAGCAGTTAAATGAATGGAGGGATTCAGTGCTGTGTGAGTTTGGATGCCTACTGTCGATCGGTTTTGTTGCCGCTGGGATGTGTCTTTAATATTTTATTATATAATGTCTTTTTCGATGATACCTGAGCACTTGAAACATCTTGTACTATACAGGCAGCAGCTCTCCACCTTTGCCATTGAAATAACTAATCCCATACAACATACAAATAAATCCTGTGTGTATCATCAGGCCAGTAGTGTACTTGAAAGCAAATTCTCTCCCTTCTACAGGCTGGGTTCCACCGTTTTCAAATAGGCAAAAGTTTGTAACTTGTTCACATAATCCTTTAAACTTAAAGTAGGCCGTATTTTAATGGCAACCCATAACAGAGCTAGTCACAGCCTGGCTGTTAAACCTTTTGCAGTTGAGTCAGAATGCGTCTGCCATATTTTTGGAGAGAGAATGGATACTTTTAAAGGGCTAAAATAAAAACTGTTCAGGCTCCTTTGCAGTCGGTGTCTGCATTGGACTTTGGCTGGCTCTGCAGTCACAAAGGCCCTGGTACTTTTGTGTAGGTGCTGATATTCCATCAATTATTTATTCCACGTTTGTGATTAAAAAGCATCAGGCAAATTCATTAACGTATGCAAATGATCATAATTGCAATTATCTTCATATCTTGATAAGCACAAAAAAAATAAATTCTGCACAATCTGAATCCCTCAGCACTGTGAGTTACACTTTGCATTCAAACCAATCAAGCCTCATCTGCATATTGCTAATTAGCTGAACATATTCAGTTGCCAATTAGCAGGTCTCACAAATAGCTTCTCAGCTCTGTGGCTTTATCTTTTATCGGAAAGTTTGCAGGTATATATATCCATCCGTGGCTCCTGTCGAAGAATAGCATTTTTATATTCACTAATTAATCAAATTAACACATGCAAATGAGTGTAATTGCATTGAGCTTCCTCGCCTCATGCTGTGTGAAAAAAAAAAAGCAGGGATATTTTTACCAGCAGTCGGAGAAACTCGTTCCAGAAATGAGCTCTACTTGGAGCACGGTGGGGGGGGATATTTCCAAAAATTTCCAGTTCTGGGGATATGCTAGCTCTTGGGAATTAGTTTGAAAATAATAAAAGGAAAAACAAATGGTGGATTTGTGGGGTACAATCTCACATAACTTGGGGGGGACATGCAAAACTAATCACAATAGAGGAAACGGATGCATCAAAGTCCTGGACTTCGCCAGTGCCAGAGGTGGTGAGCTACTGTTGGACTCCAGGAGAATCCTAGTCCATCAGGATTGGTCTAGAGCCTTATAGAGTGATAACAGACCGAGGGAGGAAGAGACACGCATTCAAGTGCGACCGACCTATTGATTCATCATGGAATGGAGAAAGGGGCTCACACCCACTCCTGGCATGCAGGACTATGTCAAAGAACCCTGTTCTTGTCTCACTGGATACTAGTAGCCCAGGAAGAGCCCAGACACACCAGGGGGCCTTTGCATCTTTAGCCCAGCCAACTCCTCAACTAATCCCTCTAAATTAACGATCAAGCAATCCGTAAAAGTTCGGGGTTGGTCTAAAGACTCCGTAGTGGGCCAAACTGCAGCGGGAGCTGTTCTGGAGATCAGAGGCACGACACGGGTTTGACAAACGACTATTACTCGTCCGCCCTCAAGTGTTCCCACCCTTGCTTCCATCATTCTGCAAGGAAATGGAGCTGTGATTAAAGGGGATACTGATAGAGATGAAAGGGAAACTAATCGCCATCAAGCGATTGAGGGGGATCAAGTCGTGATGAGGTAGAAGAGAGAACTAATTAAGATGAGCTCGATGTGAGACAAAGGTTACTGGGGAACTAATCGAGCTGAGCAATTAAGGGAAAAGTACTCGAGATGAGGTAGATAGATGTCAGATTAAGGGGGAACGAATCGAGATGAGCTAGATGTCGGATTAAGGGAAAACTAATCGAGATGAGCTAGATGTCAGATTAAGGGAAAACTAATCGAGATAAAATAGATGTCGGATTAAGGAGGACCTAATCGAAATGAGCTAGAGGTCATATTAAGGAGGATCTAATCGAGATGAGCTTGATGTCGGATTAAGGGGGAATTGATTGAGATGATATTAAAAGGTAAATGATGGGAGTCCTTAATTATCAATTAAAAATACTAAAAGATGGAAAGCTGAGGTCCTAGACCTTGATATCAATGGTCTAATGATTTAATGATGTCATCTATATAACATAAAATGTTGATGTCGTAGCAGGGGTCTGGACTCTGGGTTCAAATCCCAGCTGGGAGGCTTCTGTGCTTCTTTAATATAAACCTATACAGCACACAGCAACAACACTAGGTAATCACAGCCCCTGCAAGATGCCGTGGCTAAAAATATTTGTCAAATGATTAATAAAGGAAACAGACCTCATACTCCCAGCAGTACTGAATGGGCTCTTGAAATTACTTTTTTTAAAAAAAAAACGGCGCTGGAGTCTAAAAACACAGCCTGTAAGCACTGGGATCGCAACACACTGAGTCCTGCAGAACCAGGGAAAGCAAGTGAAAGGTAGAGGGGAAAAAAAAAACAGAAGGAGAAGGCAAGACTAAACAACTGTGAACTTTACAGGAAAAAAAAAAAGTTCCCTGCCCAATCAGAATGCTTTGAATAATTAAACTGATCAGCTTAATTAGCTCAATTAAGTTAATTTGACCACGGAACATGGCCATATGGCGAGAGGAAACAAAAGAGGGGGGAACTAATTAAAAGTAAAATAATGAGGATTTTAATTAACTGGTTCCCCAGACGTCAGCAGGCAGGGATCTGGAGCCCAATGCCGTAATTAAAAAGTGCTGTAATGCTGGCAACATTTCTTCTTTTTTTTTTCTCTCTTTTTAATAACTGAGAGGGCTCCCTCCATCTAATTAAATCTGTAAATGAATTAGCAACATTGAGGGTTCCTGGTTTGACTTTACACTCCTTGTAACCCCCTCCCTCCCCCTTCGTTCTGGAGCCCATCCCCCCCACCTCGCACGCACACACACACACACCTTTGTTTCCAACAGGCTTGTCTCTCTAATGAAATTAATTAGCGCCGATCTGCTGCTCCAGGGTAGCAGCCACCTCTTTTTTTTAACGCGCCCCCGTACGGTAGTTGACGAGTTACCACAGAGCAAGGAAAAAGAGAGATTGGAGGGGGGGGGGGTCTGTTTTTGTGGGTGACAGGGTGGGGGCCTGGGGGGCGTGTCTACATGTCTGCATGGTCTACTTTTCAGCCATCTCCTCCCCCGTTCTCTCTCTCTCTCTCTGCCCGGACACGCCCCCCTCCGCCACAATGCCCGTACCCCCTGCCCACTGCTGCCCTCTGGCGGGCACGGCTCTCACACACACCCTGAGCCCCCAGGGGTACAGCAGATCTGCCTCCTGCCTGCCCTCCACTCACTGGCAGCTGTGAAACAGCCATCGCACCCTACGGCTCACCGCTGGCATCCCCACTGGGGCTCAGCAGGTGGGAGCCTGGTCAGTACCTGGATGGGAGACCTCCTGGGAGAAACTGAGGTTGCTGCTGGAAGTGGTGTTAGTGGGGCCAGTAGGGGGCGCCCACCCTACGGTCTGAGTGGGTCCTAACCCCCCAGTATAGTGACGGGGACACTATACTGTACAAAAGGTGCCGTCCTTCGGATGAGAGGTAAAACCGAGGTCCTGACTCTCTGCGGTCATTAAAAATCCCAGAGTGCTCCTCAAAAAGAGTAGGGGTGTTACCCCCAGCCTCCAGCCCAAATTTCCCCCCTGGCCTCTCTCTGAACTGGCTCCATTCTCCTCCCCATTGGCGCACTATGGCTGCTGACGCATCATCCAGGTGGGGCTGCACATTGGTGGTGGGAGTGGGATTTGAGTGGAGTGTCCAGAAAAGTGCTATATATACACAGTGTAAGGAATTATTATCATTAGCAGCAGCCTTCCCACAAAACCCTTACACTTATCCCCTCACGTTTCTTTGTCGGCCCTGGCTGGGAGGTGCAAGGAACTGGACCGTCACTATGGGTTTCTCACCGCAGAGGGCGTTGGGGTGGCTCTGTGGCTAAGGACTCCTACTCCACTGGGCCCCTGAGCTCGAATCGTGATGCCGTTTTCCAAGAACAGTCCGTTCCACCCCCATCTAAACCTTCAATCCCAAATCTCAAACTCAAACACCCCTCCCCACCCCTCCTTCCTTCCTTCTTTCACCCCCGCCCGCCCTCCTCCTTCGTTTTTCAAGAAACACGTTTTTAATTAAAAAATACATTCAGATTGACAACAGAGCAATTTGCATATTAAATTAACAGCCACTTAAGTCGGTGCTGAACGCACTGTAACGCAGCCAATTATGTGTGTAGTGGAGCGAATGTGCATCAATTTTTTTTTGGGGGGGGGGTCTGTTGTTGATGATGTTTAACGGAGAGGGAGGGAGAGCAGACACAGGGGGGGGTCCCTGTCGGGGAAAAGGGATTTCAAGGCCTATCAGTTAGCGAATCCGACTGCAGCCTGGCCCTCCGACAAAACGCCCTCCTCAAGCGCGATAAAAGCAGAACCGTTTGCCGCGCTCAGGCAGCCCAATCCCAGAGTGCTTCGGAACACCCGCTTTTCGCTCGCTCCCAGCAGGCAACGCTGCGCCGCCTCGAGCCGAAGTCTTTAGCCGCCGAGCTTCCTCCCCGGTGAGACTCGTCCCCCTCCGCTCGGCGGCACGTGCTCTGGGTGACGGCACAGAACCGGGGACCCTGGTGGTACCCCCCCAACCCCTCACCTCGTTCACACGGCTGCCCGGCGGCCCCATCTTCCAGCCCCCTGCAGGGCAGCTGTGGACAGCTGAAATCGGCGCTCTCCGGTTCGGATCCTGGAGGGCTCTTCGGGGGAAGTGTGCAATCAAGTAACCAAGTCATCAACTGATTTCCTAAATTAGACATACGAGGGGTTAGTCTTACAGTCCTTTAGAGACGATTCCATAAGACATTCACATCAATTCCTAATGCAAGAAATTGTATAGGGCCAATAAAGTGATGTTATGCTATAGGTACAACGAATTAAAGAGTCACTCTGGACCCATGAAGTAGTCCAATTATGCTGCTAATTAATTACACCAACTATCACCAAAACCAGAAGACACCAGGTTTCCAGGTGTCTCTCCTGGTTTAAAGCCACTTTGGATAGCAGTGCCAGTCTAATAATAATAATGGAAAAATAATATAGGAAGGTAATCCGACTGATTAGCAGTAATCCCGGACTCTCTTACCTACATTAATAAAGATCCCACATTAGTGCCGAACAGGGTGGGCGAAACTGCTGGCGATACTGGACACAATCTGTCAGTCTCCGCTGCCGAGCCAGCTGACCACACAACACGCACAGCTGTGGCAACACCACACACCACAGTAATGACACAGTGTGGAGGCATTTCTTTATCCCACCTTCAATCACACTGCTCAATAAATGAGCTCAGGATAAGGGAGCATTGGTTTATAGACAAGTGCAATTAGCGGTGGAAGAGGTGTTAGTGTGGCCAGCAGGGGGCGCTCACCCTGCAGTCCATGTGGGTCCTAATGCCCCAGTATAGTGAGGGGGACACTATGCTGTAAAAAGTCGCCATCCTTCGGATGGGACGTAAAAACCCAGGTCCTGACTCACTGTGGTCATTTAAAATCCCAGGGTGTTTTTCCAAAAGAGTAGGGGTGTAACCCTCGGCGTCCTGGCCCAATTTCCCCCTGGCCTTTACCAGTCATGGCCTCCTAATCATCCCCATCTCTGAACTGGCTCCATCACTCTGCTCTCCTCCCCACTGAGAGCTGGTGTGGGGGGAGCGGACTGGCGCGTCATCCAGGTGGGGCTGCACACTGGTGGTGGTAGTGGGATCCCCATGACCTGTAAAGCTCTTTGAGTGGAGTGTCCAGAAAAGCGCTATATAAGTGTTAGCAATTATTATTATTATAAAAAATGAAGGTGTTGTGCAGTTATAGGGGTTCATGGTGACTTTGGGGGAGTAGGCTTACAGGTTTTGATGTGGGTGTAAGGATCGCTATAGGAGTGATGTACAATGCCTATGTGTGGGTTGGTGTCTTTTATGTAATGTTATATTTATTTGTACTGTTTGTATGTCTTTTGTAAGGCTCAGTGTAATTCCTTACACTTATATAGCACTCTTCTGGACTCTCCACTCAAAGCGCTTTACAGGTAATGGGGATCCCCTCCACCAGCAGTGTGCAGCCCCACCTGGATGATGCGCCAGTCTGCTCCCCACACACCAGCTCTCAGTGGGGAGGAGAGCAGAGTGATGGAGCCAGTTCACAGATGGGGATTATTAGGAGGCCATGACTGATGGGTGATTTGGACAGCACACTGGGATAACACCCCTACAAACGTAGCTACTCGGATGCCAGACACATTTCTGAGACATTGGACAGTAAAGGAATGTTATATTTAAGTTGTCAGAGTCTAAACAAAATGCTAACACCTTTCCAACTGCACAGGAAAAACCTTGCTGTGACATCTTTCTCCACTGACCTGGGCCTGGCCAACCAGATGCTCCCCACACTCTCCATTGCAGAGCTGTGCGGGGGAATTTGGGACCCCTCCTGTAGGCGAAGCGCTCTCAGATCCCTGGGGAAGAAAAAGGAAAAGTGCACAGTGTAAACACAAGGGTGATTCACTACTAGAGTAAATGCAAGCGGGACTTCATGCGCTGATGCTGTTGATGGTTATCAGTGAAAAGGGTGAGCTGGGAGCAGAGGGGATGCCCGATCCCCAGTATCCACAGCACCCAGAGCCGCAGGAACAAGGCCGGGCTGACCTCAGGAGCTAATTAAAAGCTGATAAGATCCTTAATGAACCCAGGCCAGATCAAAGCCCCATGGCAGCACAGCTGGGGAGGGGGCCATGTTTACACAAGTTACTGGTGGTAATTAAGAAGGGGGAGGGGCGTCTGTGAAGGTCAGCAGGTGTGAGGAGGGAAACTCCTTTATGGACTGAAGAGATCCCCCATCCCTGCACCCACACACACTCACACAACAGCTGCTTTTCCCTTGTTAAAAATAAGTCACCCGAGTGACAAAAACACACTGTTCAGACAGCCACAGCACAGAGGACAACGCAACTCTGAGCGCTGGGAGCTCAGACGGATCTGCTCCGCTCCGTTCTCGCACAGGCTGGGTTGGTGCTTCAAGGGGGCACGGCCTGGGGGGGGGGGGTCTCCAGTCTCTTTGCGACCCACAGTCCTTTGCTGGAACTGCTCTGACCTGACTGTACATCGGAACAACTGCATTTGCTGTTTCCACAGTTTGCCAATCCCCTGCAAAGCCGACTCCTGCAGGTGGGGCTGCACATTGGTGGCGGTAGTGGGATTCCCTATTGCCTGGAAAGCACTTTGAGTGGAGTGTCCAGAAAAGCACTATATAAGTGTAAACAATTATTATTATCATTACTTTACTGACTATTCCAGACTCTAGAGCACCGATATAAATGAGCAAGAGCAATGATCCTAGTACAGATCCTTGCGGTACTCCAGTATTCCCTACCTGACTCCCGGCAGGGAATCTGTCTGGATCCATCTGTGTTTTTCCATCCCACAGGGGGCCCAGTTGGATCAAGGGTAAAGATCTAACTCAGGACTGAGAGATCCCTAAGCGAAGTGCCTTTCAAAGCGCACTTCTGTAAAAAACAAAAAGGGCTTTGAGAGTCTTAAAAACTAGGTGCCCAGCCATGCTGCCAACACAAAGATAAACTAGCTGCTAACTACCGGACACATTAGGCTGAACGGCCTTCCCTCCACCCCCAGCGTCGTCTGTAACTTTTCTTATGTTGATATTCTGCGCAGATGTGTTTAAGCACACGCAATCGCGCTGTGTTCTGTCATTCGCCGCGATCCCTCCCGACAGTGCAGGCCGGGGAGACACTGGAGTCGAGCACCAATTATGGGGGTCGCTCGGAGCCGAGACGTGTGCGAAGCGCTGTTATTGTGCCTGCGTGGAGGGGGGGTGGGGGTATTTACACACAGATCAAGCCCGACTCTGCTCTCCCAGCTCTTCCAGGAGCTCATTATCTCCATAATCCTCACTAATTACACCTGCTGCTCCCAGACTCGGGGAGAACGAGAGCTGGGACTTCCATCAGACACACAGAGAGAGAGATCTGCCTGCCCTCCAGCCCAAGCTTGAACGAGCAGTCGGAGCTGATGTCAGCTATCGGTGCGGCCGCCAGGATCACGCAACGGCCAACCGTCTGAGTCCACAAGCAGAGGAGCACAGCTGCCTGAACTGGGACCGCTTCCTGGCAAACTGAGCGGGGGGAAGTATATCTATCCTTTCTCCTTCCCTCCTGTGTAGCACAGGAATGCGAGAGCTTCGGGAAGCCAAACGGAGCGCTTTACGAACTGCAAAAATGCGTTCCGAAACGGGGTGGGACAAACGGCTACCACCGAGCACAGGAGCGAGTCTCTTTCCCCTTGGAACAAACCCTCAGTACTGTACTATGCGTCTTCTGTCACCGCGGTTTGCTCACTCCCGCCTCAGCCGAGTTTTCCTCCGGTTTTCACCTCCCGGAGGGGTGGTGCGCCCGCTCCACTTCCAGTTTCTTCATTTAAAAAAAAAATCCTACACTCCCCCCCTCCTCCTCCCTCTGCCGCCGCCTCCGACACTGTGACCGCCAGGCTGGGGCTCAGCGGGGCTCAGCGGAACACGTGCCTTCATTAACACTCTTTAATTAGGAACAGATGCAAGTTTCGACACGGCGCTCTCGGCGCCCAGCTCGGGCCGTCTCCCTTTTCAATTCTCCTCCTTCCTCCATTTCGCGTTCTCTCGTTCCCGCCCCCCTCGCACCTCTGTCACATTTGTAAGAGCCGTGTAGCTTAATTATGGGGGTTTCTGAAGTGTTTTAACTGAGCTCTCCTCGTCTCTCACTCTCCTCTCTCCAGTTAAGCGCTCGCTTGCTTTTGAACTCTCCTCCTCCGCCTCGTTCGCCGACCCCAGCGGCTTCGGAGTCGGATGACGGGATAGCCCCCCCGGCTCTCGAAACCCGGGGCAGAGAAGACTTTTTTCTTGCCCAGTGGGTGTAGCAGGAGCACTTACACAGTGAGCGCAGTATGGTTTGGGGAGGGGTGGGGTTATTATAACGCGTGAGCCGCCGCAGAAAGATCCTATGGGAATTCGGAGGAAATTCCTGGGATTTTTTTTTATCTTGGAAAAAGGCGCAGGGAAACCGAGACCAGGGAGAGCGGGCCGGAGAAACTGCGAGTCGCCCTCGGAACAGACGAAGCGGTTTTTACGAAACACGGCTGTCATTTGGGACACCAGACCGAAGAATTAATTCAAACTCCACTTATAATTTTATATATATATATAATTGAGAAGGCCTGGCCTCAATTCTGAACAAAGCATCGACTATTTTGTCATAAAAATACGAGACTTGTACACTTGGGTGAAACACCAGGGAAAGCGCACAAAGCCAAACTGAAGGTCTTCACTGTTTTATTTCAAATTGTAGCACAAAACGTGCCCCGACCCCCACGTTAATCCCCAACCCCTTTTTACCCAAGCGATATTAAAATGCATCTCTTATAGCACTGATTTTTAATAGCCCCAATCTCTCGAATTCAATTTGCCCCCTGAAATATTTGCAGAAAACACGCATCGCCAAACCCGGGACAGAAGACTCGAGCTTGCTTCTCTGGGGGATAGGAGCCCGGCCTCCTAAGATGTAGGCAAAAGAACATGAAATCGTATTGTTAAAACACAAGGAGGAAATAACCAACAAGATCTCAGGAGGATCTCCCGACTTCCTGATTCTCAACAGCGGCTTGTGGACAGGTATCCAACTGCCTATCCAACAGTCACACACACACACGCAGGTCAGACGTGCCCAGACCCAGCTGAGGACACCTACAGAGCGACCTATCGCTCGCCTTACGAGGACTGTGCTTGATTTATGCGTATAACCCTGCCCCGTTAAATCAGTGGTTCTCAACCTTTTTGGCCGGGGTACCCCATGGAGAGTCGGCCAGGTCCAGAGGTAACCCCTAAGATTACCATAGGTACAGAACGCTAAGAAAGGGCTGTTCGTTGTTTTGTTTTTTTTTGTGTTTTGTATGTATACAGCACCTATTATAGTGGAATAATAAATAAATACATATGCACGTATCATTAAGAATCGAAGTGATTTCAGAATTAGCCGATAAATACTTTGCTAAAACCAAGGACATGAAAAGCCGCCATTTTGGATGCGACGCCCAAGGTACCCCCAGGGGTACACGGTACCCCGGTTGAGAACCACTGCGTTAAGTCCATGATTGGTCCACTGCTTTGCTATTCGTTCCGTCTGTGTTTGAATTAAGAGAACGAAGCCCTGTCTGAGCTCTGCATTTATTTTGTGATACTGCCTTTTAAGACGGTCCCAACTTCTATTATACAAGGATGATTCGATATAACCAACTGTTAACGCGACCCTTGACTGTCCAAAAAGGCGCATTTTTAATAAGGGAACTGTACTGGTGAAAAAACACATCTAAAATTCCGAAAAATCGCTACCTGGCGTCTAAGTTATATTTACAACATTAAAGATCTTTAATTTTGTTTACAGACGTCGGTTTATAGAAGTTTGTCTAAATAATGCTACTCGGTAGTCTTTTTAATTGCCAATTTACCTCCTGGGAAGCTGTATTAAACACAGCTTATGTGTCTAAACGAAGAGACGGAGCTCGTCCCGTCACTTGTCGCTGGTTTTTTATTAGTTTAATTTTTTTCCCGCCTTCGAGTTAAAAAGGTCGTCAATAACATGTTGTCAAAATGTTTTGTTTGACGCGCATTGGACTACAATAAACTCATTTAACGGCAGATCCCGAGATTAGCCTGTTAATTGCGAGCTGGAAGTCGAAGAAACGGATGCAGAATAACGATGAGACTTCAAAATCAGATCGCAGGGAGCAGAATATCACATAGAGCAACGACTCTGACCGGTTTCTCCACGGACACAGGGAGATATGCCGAGGTGCTTTCTTTACAACAGTGTGGAGCCACAACAGTCTTATCAGCCCGGCTGAAAGCTTTGCCCTTGGTTCTGGGGGGAGAAAACGGTTAAACTAGGCTCCATTTCCACCCACTGTCACGCCCAAAATTCAAAGGTCTTGCCAAAATAATCCTGACGTCCAAAGTACGGGAGAAAAAAAAAACACCAGCAGCCTGCTCTCTTCAGTTCGTGAAGAGGTCCCTGTGAACATCCGCGGCCAGCCCACATCTGAACAGTAACCCTCTCTGCTAAAAAGCAACAGGGTCCCGAGCGTGTGTCTGGCCTCTCATTGTCCAGCGGTCTCTGGGCATTCACCTGAACTCCGCAAAGTTGTTGTGAATATTCTGCATGCATTCAAAAAATTAGAAACGGCAAATAAACAGTGGAACAAACTAGAAAAGTGACAGATCTTCTCTCAGAAGCAATTTGTTTTGCTGCATGAAACAACACAGAGAACGGCACAACTTTTGTGAAGATCTCCCCTCCCTCTGAAAACTATCCTGCCATTTATAACGTACAGAACTCAGAATTGCACGTTTACATATGCATCGATAAAGCAACTGCACGGGAGACTTAATCGAGTGGTAATAAGCAGGGGATTGGTCACTCTTTAGGGTTAGCTAGTGTCAAGACGGACGTTATCGGTCCGATTCCCAGTTTTCCACAGCTCGGATGAGAGGGGGGGGGGGAAACACGGAAAAGTCACAGGCAGGAGCCAGAGGAGGAGACTGGGGGAAAAAAAAGACTCGCAATGTTGCAATCTTCCGAGGTGGAGAGGAAGGTTCTGCCAAAAAAAAAGAATTTTGCCGAGTAACCAGGCGGGGGAGTGAAACATTTTGCAAGAGCAGTTTCTAGCTAAAGTGCTAAAGAGTTCTCCGAGTGGGTCCCGGAACTGCCCGCTTTGAGATAATTCGGCGACGTGACGCTCAGAACACAACCACTCGAGTCCGTCTGCTACGGTGGCAGGTTGTTGGAAATCGAGGCTCTTGCTCGGTATCAAGAGATTAAATCCAAATTTCACGAAAAAAAACATCAATATTTAAAAGCCCTTTTCGGAAACGATTACAGGTTTGTGTCTCTAATTATTCCCTGTCCACTGCCTGACATATTTCTGCCACCTGGGGGTTTGAATGCAGTTGTTTGGCACTTGTGCGATATTCCTTCCCTCCGCCTTGTCGAGCTCCCCCAACTGTCGGACCCCGTCATTTCACGCCTTACCTCTCCGGTGTGCAGCTGACAGTAGCCTCATGCAGTTGTCGTTTTTTTCTCCACCACCCTGTTGCTGTTGGGCCCCCGGATCACCCAGGTGCCTCACAGCTCCGGCCTCCTGGGTTCGAGTCTGGACCGGGGTGTCTGTCCGTGTGGAGTCTGCACGTTCCCTCCCTGCAGGTGGACGAGGTCTCTTCGCCCCTGCCAACAGCGCATCCACTGGGCGTGCCTACCGGCTCCGAGTGTCCCCTGCGGCCCTGTGACAAGCAGGCGTAGCATCCAGACGGAGAGCAAACGGGCTCTCCTGTTCCCGACGCGCGCTCCGTGTTCCCGGGATGGGTCGCAGCTTGCCGCCACCTTCCCTGGGAAAGTGTCCGATTTCCGAGGCTGGAAGGATGGGTGGAGGGAGGGAGGGTTAACCCTCGTGCTCTCTCGTCTCTCTGCACTGCTCTCCATTTCACCCGGGGCTCCGGCCATGCACAAGGGGGAAACACTGACCTCTAGTGGCCGTCCTGGAAACTCGTCTGCCCGATGGAGGAGGAGCACCACCCCTCTAGCCCTGCTTAGACTGACACTGTGGGCGAGCCGCCAGGTGGTC